GGACCGTCGGCTCCGTCGAGCTGTCGGTACTAGCTCCACCGAAATACGGCACCGCCGCGCTTTTACGCACAATTCCGGAACTTGGCCAATCGCATCGGAAATTTCGAGTCTTGCGGAAGGCACCGGCCCAGCAGTAGCAGCTTTGTCCTGCTTAATATCGTCAAAGGCAAGAGCTCCTAGCGTGATCTGCTTTTTATTATAGGTGAGTACCGTGTAGATGGCTTAGGAGAAGGGTTTGAGAGAGTTAGCTTTGGCACTGCGCTTTCAGGTGTGAGCAGCCTTGAACTTCAGGTGTCTGTAAGTAAAAATTGCTTTAGCTGTAAATAAAAGTCACAGAGGTGTCACTCCAAGCAACTTCAAGAAGAGCTGTGTTCCACTGGCCCTCTCTGAGGGTAATTGAACCATATGCGCTTCCCACTTGCTGTGAAGCATGCGGTTGCATCTGAGCAAACCTTCAAGGAAAGGTCTCATTTTGGAAGAAAGGCATAAAGAACGGCTAAGAGTGAAGCATCTGTACAAGTCCTCACAAAGACATTAAAATTCAGGAGGTGTCATGAAGAAATGGCAAATGTGCAAGGTGATCTTCCTCCGCCTGCACCCCCGGCAGCGAGGCTCAGGAAGTCTTTCCTTCGTAACCAATAATGAGTGGAAGCCGAGGGCTGGAAAATCAAAGCTGAATTGTGTGTGGGCGTCTGCATATGAAAGGATAAATCTAATGGAAATCTCCTCTAGCCAAACCGAGAAATCGGAGCAAGGCCTTCTGTCAATAGCAACGCGGAAAAAATCGAAGGGACAAGGCTGCCATTTCCAATTGACCATTGCCATGGAAACAGCCTCCTGGTGTCAACAGTTGGTGGAGCAGGATGTAGGAAGCAAGGCAGGCTTTTGTTCCCATCAGCAGGGTGGTAGGACAAAGGACCCGCCCGTGCTATGGCCAGCGCATGTAGAATTTTTGAAGTGTTTTGTGTAGGTCAGTGGTGGCTGAGGGCAGGACTCTTGACGCAAGGATTTGCAGCAGGCTGTCCGAGATAGATCAAGAGGCAGAAGCAAGCAGAAACCTGACCTTGATTATTCTAAATATTCCAACTCTGCCAGTCTGTACAACGTACCTGTTTCGTGTGGGAGATGTCATCGTTGTTCCTCAAAAAACCAAAAGACTGGCCCTTACCTGTCAAAATGGGGCAAAGGAGCAGCACGTGTAGGGTATAGAGAATGACTTCATTATGTAGCGTACGTATGTGCATAAGCTGTGTTGTTTGTACAGGATACAGAAGAGCAAGAGCTTTGGAATAGAAACAGGAAGTGTGAAGTGGATGAAGTGGCAGAGAGGAACGTCTAAGAGCCTTTGGAAAGGGTGAGATGATCAGACCTAAATGTGGGAAGGTATTTTAGGGACAAGTTTTGCTTAGGGTGGAGGAAACCACAAAGAGGGAAATGGCCAGGGTCTTAGCCATTGATGATGTTCGGTCTAGAGTGAAGGTGAGACAGCAAGGTAGGCTTGACGGGATGGGAGGAGGCAGATACCTGCAAGACTGAAGGACTGCAGACCTGGTAATTGTGGAGGACGGAGTACCAGCAGCAGAAGGCAGAAATAGCCAGGGCATTGTAAGAAACCTGGATAATCTTATTTTTCTGTGTCGTAAGTTTCCTTCGGCTTCTGAGCTGCCTTCTTAGTGGTAATATAGATAATTTTTCATTTCGTTGCTCATGATGGTCAGACAAAGTCTTGACAGTGCTAATGAACCAGGATATGCTGGGCCAATACTGGAAGGTCATTTTTATTGTCTTGCCTTGACAAGGGAAGAAAGAGAAGAAAGGTGTGAGCCTGTTCTCACAAAAAGAGGTTGAAGGCATTTCTGCTAGGAGCAGCATTAGCACTCTGAATTGTGGACCTTCCTCCAGCCTCCCTTCTCCTCAAGCACCCAGTGAAATACCAGAAATTCTCCCCGGTTCCACTGCCTCAATGCTACAGGTGCCGTGCAGAGGGTGTGTGGCAAGGAATATGTCACTGCTGTAATGCAGCAGCTTTTAGACCTGTTTGTGGTATCACTGGAAAGGAAAGTGTTGGAGCAGTTCACAGCTTTCATTTTAAGTTATAAGGAAATGCAGGAGGAGTCTGAACAGAAATCCAGATTAAAATACTTCCCAGAATTTCTGATAAGCTTCAGTCTTTCCTTTTTTTTTGTGTTCCTGCATCATCACTATATTTAAACATAGTTCTACAGTGGTTTCACTTTTTGAACTACTAAGAAATGGGAGGAGTGTGTGTGTATGCTTTTTATTAACCTTCCTTTCATAATGCACTTTCTT